ACACACACACACACACACACAGTTATATATACACTTATATATACTTATATATACTGAAACAGCTGTTGGATGGATCCAGCACCAGTGAGGCAAACACACACGCACACAAAAAAAACACCACAATTTGAGGCAATATATACATCAGCACCACAAACATGTATTTATAGTCTTAGGTCGACACTGCTCATATTAAAGTTACATATTTTAATTATATATTTCTATTTTCTGTTTCTTTGGCTTGAATCGTATTTTCGGTTATTAGGAAAATTTGATTTGGTAAATAATTGGACAGTGCATATCCTGTTTATGTCAGTTTTTTATATTCTGGCCAATATATATATAGGATGGATCTAAAATGGTTGCAAGAGCTATTTAATGCTAATAAGGATTTTTCCTAACTCAATGGTTACCAAAGTGGTTGGCACACCCCCAGGGGTGGGGCATTGTTGTAAATCAAACTGGGTCAAGATAAAAAAAAAATTTGGGAACCACTGCTCTGCCTCTGCTTTGCTCACTGTTGTTTTCTAATTATCCTTTGTATCCACAGAACAGAATAGAACAGCTGGTTTTATGGAAGCATTAAAGGGGAGCGCCGTTTTTTTTACATTTGGCCCTTGATTTTACGTTATTACATCATGTTCTACTCACCCATATTAGTTTTGTGTCATTTGGAGCTGTTCTGAAGATATTCTGTTAGGTTATATCCAAGTAACGTCTTCCAATGGGCAAACGACTTGAAGGCACAAACTAAACTGTTCATAATTTATTCTTTATGGTACGCCAGCATTCATAACATGTACAGTAGGCGAATCACTGTCCCCCAGAAATACACGGTTATAGTTTTTATATTTCTATTTTTAGAAATATATAATTTTTCCTGTCCGCTGAACTGCTGCTAGTTTTACTCACATGCCTGGAAGATGTCTAGTGCTACTACCACAGATGATCTCGCTCTCGAAATGAAATGAAATTATTCAGATTAGCTAGCCGAATATATAAGAAGTAGAGCGTAGCCGCCTAGTGTAATGTACATTAGTTAAATAAAGTGGGGTTTTAAAAAAAAATAAATAAATAAAAACTCTAGTCCAGCGCGCGGATGACGTCATACACGCACCGCTTTGTTTTTAGAAGAAGTATAAAAAATATAACCGTGGATGTCTGGGGGACAGCCATTCGCCTACATGTTATGAACGCTGGCGTACCATAAAGAATAAATTATGAACTGTTTAGTTTGTGCCTTCAAGTCGTTGCCCAAAGGAAGATGTTACTTGGATATAACCTAACGGAATATCTTCAGAACAGCTCCAAATTACATAAAACTCATATTGGTGAGTAGAACATGATGTAATAACGTAAAATCAAGGGCCAAATGTAAAAAAAAAAAACAAAATTGCCCTTTAAACTGTAAACAACTATTTAAGGAAATCCGTGTAAAGGAAGCTGGACACAAAATCATGCCACACTTTTCAGATTCTAATGAGAGAAAATCTTGAATAATAATCAATCCGTCTTTTACTTGAAAATTATGCATTACTTTGGATTGGTCTTCACACCAGACTCCAATAAAATACTTAACATTGTTTTGGTGTTAAAGTAGAAAATATTTCACAGTGCATGAATTATGTTTTAAGACACTGTTTGAATAAAAGCCTGCTATGTCTAACTGTAGAACAGAATACCAAAACATTCAAGACATTTGATTAGAGAAAAATGTTCATGAGCATATTCCACAAACACAACACAGGATTTAGAGTTATCAAAATACCCAAGAGCAACAATTAATCATTCATCAGTCTTTGGAGAAAACAACCTCTACTCAGACTGCTCCAAATTCACACAAACAGATGTAGAGCAAGACTGAGTTTTCAAACACCAGTCAACATCCTGTTTTGCTGCTTTATCGGTACAGCAGTACGTCTCGGAATTGAGGCAGAGACACCTCAGGGTCCAGGCGGGTCACGGGGTAAATCGGGTCTCAGTGGGACTAAGGCCAAAGATAAGGAAGAAGTGTTTTCTGAGGACAGTGGGTGGAAAGTAAGCAGGCAAAAAAGGAATAGAAACAGACCAAAAATATATGGTATAACAAAAACTCTTTACTCAGACTCTACCACCTAATCTCCTTCTGTTCCTATTTCTACCGTCCAGCAGTTCTTTATTTTTCACCACCTGACCCACATAGAAAACTCCTTCCTGGTGGGTGCTGCACCAGAAACTCGGCCCAAGCCTTTTGATCCATTTCCAGATCACTCGCTGAAAGCCTGTCACTTCAGCTTTAGGCCACAGAACATCCCACAACAGCCCTTCATCTCCAAACACTGGGCGACACACTTTTTCTTTCACATTCACGCAATCTCTATCATGTGACCAGCACATCCTTCCCACTACTTTAAGTGAGCATAAGCAAAAAAACTTAAAAAGGAATAATAGTGTACAGCTATAAATTGGCAATGATTTTGTGTCCCTACACATTACATATTATATATATATATATAATATATATGTGTGTGTGTGTCTGTGTGTGTAATTTACAGTTACAGTATCAGAAAGAAAGCATGCTGAACCATATACATAAAGGAAAAGAAGGGCAGATTTAATTTAAAAATTGGCACACAATCCTAATTTCTACAGAGGAAGGCTCATAAATGAAAAAAGTCTGGAATCATGCCTGGTATGGAAATATGAAGTTATGAATAATGCCTCTGTCTCAATCATCAACTGTGTTTTAACAAGGTGGATTAGATAAGCACCTGGGAGGCTAGAAAAAAGCACATCCATGGCTGCATTTCTAACTAGCCAGGAGTGGGAGTTGAGTCCCTGAGGGCCCTAAACCCTCAAATCCTCCCTGCTGGACCCTCAGCAGTCTGTAAGACGGAGCAGCAGCAAACAGCTCAGGGTTGTCATGGACGACCATGAATCTATCTGCAGTAGGCTGAGGCAACAGGACGAGTGGCTGATTTACACACAGCTGCTAATCAGTGAATGGCTCTCTTGGTAATGAAAACTCATAGATCTATACAGTAGCACTACTGATATGATTTTATCTCCCATTACTCATTTCTAAATATGCAATAGGCAGTGCCTGTTCAACATCAGAGAGGGGGGTAAAGGACCAAGGTGCATAAAATGTTAGCGACATCAGGTCAGAAATGTTTAAGCAGAATGTGGGTGCTGGGTCATGGGTGTAAACAATAAGCAGTTCACATGTGCATGTTTTTATCCAGACACAAATTTAGAAAGGAGAATATAGATTTTGCACCAACATTAAGTTGATTGCCCAATTCCATCCTCCCCTCAGATTTCAGTAGCCGAGGTCGGAGCTCGGTAAACAGAAAGCAGGCGTAATGGCTTATTTCAGCTTGGCCCTGATCCATCATCTGAACAAGTCACAGGCACTGGTCTAATCATGATTAAGACCAAAACAGTGAATCAGGTAAACACAGGAGAGGTGCAACCATCCATTCATCTGCTAGATTCATCAGACAAATCACTTCCACTTCCAGCAAATGAGAATGAATTCATTGTGACTTACCTGTTCCATTGGCTGTGCTTGCTAAGAAGAGAGGATACAAAGCTGAGCAGCTTTGAGATAGACTGACGCAAAACAGATTCACAGCAAAGTCTTATGGACCTAATAGCTGTGAAAGCAAATTAGGAACAAATGTATCTAAGGGGCTAATGATAGATTTGGAGGGAAAGTTAACTCACCACTGGAGCAGTCCAGTCCGCCCCACCCAGGCTCACATTGGCATGTATCAGGAGAGACGCAGCGGCCGTGTACGCACTCCTCTGTGCACAGAGCTGAAACACAGAAACATTTCTGCATCAGTGCAACTTGTAAGAGAACTAAAATACACAAACGAAAAAAACATGGACTAAGAAAGCTAGATCAATTCTAGATAAACATAAAAACAGTTCAAATGTTCAAGGCAACAGCTAAAACTAAGTAACTAAATAAGTTATACTTCCACCTCTAATATAAATCTAAACTTTGAATCTCCTGATTACACATTATTTTGTATGTATGTAATTAGTGTTGTGCAAGTTACCTCTAAAATGTAATATGTTTCATATTACAAGTTACCTTTGTTAGAGAGTAAGTTTCTTTACAATATTACCATGTGTGTAAAGTAATGAGTTAAGGAAGGCATTAAGGAAAAAAGGAAGGTGTGCATTAATTTTGCATTAAAAGCTGAATAATAAAAATGTGATCATATAGAATAATTAAACAACAAAAACTTTTACACAATATGACACAAGCTCTGTTTCTATGCCTCATTTTTCTGGGTTTTTTTTAACAGCCCGGATTGTTATGCGCTCCCGCCTAAGGAACTGTTAAAAAATTACAAAAAATTGTTTTGCAGGACGTTACATTACTGCATTATGGCCTGAAACGTGATGTATTACAGTAATTTTTTATAATGCGTTTCCCCCAAAACTGATGGTAACTATAAACCATTTTAAATTACATGTTAATACAAAAATATTCTCATAATCTATCAAAATTGTTGTGGACATTGATCAATCTAGATCATATATCCATATACTGTATATAACTAAGTTCTGTTCTATAGTTATTTCCTTAATGACCAAAATAGAATAACAATTTTCACACTAATTCTGCTATATGTTAAAAATGTTTTCTGTTTACAGTTAAAACTGTTAATTATTGATAAGTTAGTTAAGTTGCAAAGAAAAGCTATAAGGCTTATTAATAAGGTGGAATACAGTGAACCAACTGATAAACTCTTCATTCAAAGCAACACATTGAAATTCAAACTTATATAAAAATACTGGAAATAATGCATAAAGCAGTGAACAAAAGTCTTCCTTCTGGTATTCAGAAACTATTTAAGTTAAGAGAGAAGAAATATAATTTGCAAGGTTTGTTTATATTTGAATGTGCAAAAGAAAAGAGCCAGATAAAGTCTAGATGTGTTTCAGTTATTGGTGTGAAAATGTGGAATGAATTGAATGATTTTTTTTAAGTTATGTCCTTTCTTGGTGAATTTTAAAAGGGCTTTAAAATGTAAAATGATAAAATCCTATGTTATGTAGATTTGAATATTTATATACGCAGAAAAGAACCTGGTAGGTTGTAAAGGTTGTAAGTAGAAAACAGGGTAGGCAATAATAAGCTTTGCTTCAGCCTATTCCTTTTTTTTTGGTAATTGTTGGTTTTGTTTTGTTTTGATATTGTTGTTTTGTTGTTTAATGTTGGATTATTTGCTAAAAAATAAAGTGAAAGTGAAAAACCTGTACTTAAACTCTTTCTGGTATTTAAAGAAAGGGCTTGTGGCCTAATTTCAATTAAACTCAAAAATGTCTTATTCATTTTATTCAAAATATATATATTTTTTCAGGTAGGGACTCCTTAAACCTAAGTTTCTGTCATGACGTTACTGAGACTGGTAATGTTTGTTGTTGGCAAGGGTCTTATGTAGCAATTTGTGTTGCAACAGATCTAAAGAGACCTCTGCCTGGGAAACCTGTTGTGAAGGAGATGATCAGAGATATCTCGCTCTTATTTTCTTTACTTTATGAAACATCCTTCTTAGCTCATTAATCTGTAGGGGCTTCAGAGCCAGCCTTCGTTATCTGCTTACTTGGTTATTTTAAGTAAATGGCTGTAAGAGCTTGTTGCCCCGATAGATGAAGAGAAAGAAAAAGGATTTTAGGTTTTCAAGACACCTAAACAAATTTTCTTTCTCAGCTTTAAACAGAGGAAGCACAATACCTTGGGTTGAGTAGAGATGTTACTGGGCCAAATCTCAGTGAGCCTAATTTGGTCAGTTCACGTGCTGTTTTCTCTGTCCTGCTTCTCTACACAGCTGAAAAGTAATTCTTGGCAAAACAGTTGTTTGAACCGACCTATTGGCAGGGGGCAGTAGCTGTCTCATTCGGCCTAGGAAGTTTTGGTGGTTTCCCACTTTGGAATTTGATAAGGAGAAAAGGCACTCTTATAAAAACCACAGAGTATTGCTAAGTGTGTACAAATGAGCAGAGCTGTATACAAAAAATAGACAGATTGACTTTATTTTTTCTTGCCAAATAATTTAAACTCAGAGAGAAAAAGAACAAGTGCAAACAATTTGTAGATTAAAAGCTCTATTACTTTATACTTTATTGTCATTTTGTACACCACGAATGTATACAAAATGAAATAAGGTTGCTTACAGCTTACAATAGAGAAATGAACATTATAATTTAAGGTGCAGCAGTGATCATCATGTAAACAGTATAGCAGAAAAGGAAAACAAGTTAAAAAATAATAATGGTATAAACGGAATCTCAAACGTGTCGTTCTATTATAGGATTACCTTTCAGAGTTTAACTCATTCACCTATTAACCACCATTTAGAGTTCAATAGTCATCAAATATTTCAGGAACCTTTTTCTGAACAGGTAAATCAGCAAAAAGTAAAATTTTCTTTTTTTATTTAGGACGCTTCGACATTTACAGTACAAAGGAATTCGTCCAAATGCTTTTAAACATTCCATTTTTTTTCTTTTGGCTTATCTAAAAGGTCGGTCAAGTGTATTTTCAAATTAAAGAAGGAGACTAGAAAAAGCATGTTAAATGTAAGATTCAAGTTCTTTATGATCATTAAATGGGATTGATATCTAAAATATTACTTTAAGATGTGTATCATTCATTTGAACATTAGAATAAATAATTTTACTTGGTAAAGCCTTTCACAAAGTGCAGTATAGTTATATTTCACTAGTTTAAAGTTTAAGTTTTAAAACTATGTGGGTAAAAAAAAAATTTCAGCTCAAGAGATGAAATGATTCAATACATACTTTTCACAAAAACAGAACCATCCATCTTCTGACGCTTATCTGTCAGGGTCAGTGGGACTGTTCTCCAGCAGTGTATAGGCAAAAGGCAGAATACCCCGGAAGGGTTGCCAGTCAATCTTAGGGCAACACAGACAGACAACCATGTACAGACCTAAGGCCAGTCAGAGACAGCAATTAACCAGTAATGTTTTCGGACTGTTGCAGGAAGCCAGAGTTTTCTACAGTACACATGCATGGGGAGAAGATGCAAATTCCATGCAGAAACAAAGGCTCTAAGAAAGAAATCAAAAAGAGGACCTTCTTGCTCAAAGGCAACCATGCTACTAACTGTGCCAACATGCAGTCATGAAACAAAAAAAAAAGAATTGGACCTGATTAGATTTTTTGGGCTGCATGGTGGTGCCCTGTTGCCTTGTAGCAAGAAGGTTCTGGGTTTAATCCTGCCCCATGGTCTTTCTACATGGAGTTTGCATGTTCTCTCTGTGGATACGGGGCTTCTCTCCGTAAACTCGGGTTTCCTCCCACAGTCCAAACACATGACTGCTAGGTTAATTGGCTTCTCTACATTGCTGTTAGGTGTGAGTGTGTGTATGTGTGCATGGTTGTGTGTCTTTGTGTGTCTCTGTGTTGTCCTGCGACAGACTGGCAGCCTTTCCAGGGTGTTCTTCAGGGTGTACGGCACCCACTGCAACCCTGACTAAGACTAAGCAGGAGAAAATGGATGATTAGTTTTGGGGAGTATTGTTCTTGGAAAACTAAGATTCTGCATCTTTTTACCTGCATAAAGAGTTTTTTTTCTTTTCAAAAGGTAGTCCTTTTTGGAGAAACCTTTATTGAACTCTACAAGTATGTAGCATATTCCAGTCAAGGCTGTCTGCTAATTCTAAGGGTGGATCCTATGCAAAAAAGGTTTCTAATTTTTTTTTTCTTTGTGTGTTGCCAAAAGGTACATACACATACACACCCACCCACACACACACACACAATTTTTATCAATACCTTTTTTTTTGGAAAATCTGTGGCCAAAATTAAAAATGAACAATTAAATTGGGTAAACCCCTGGCCTTGTCCTGACATAATTATTATGTGTAGCACAAGGACCCAGCTGGCTTCTATTGTAATCCTTCACCTAACATAGGCAAGTCCAAAATTACTGTCAAAGAATCCCAAGATTTGCACACAGCTATAATGGGCTCCCAAATCATCAGCATGAAACAGAATGTGATTAATCCAGGTGCAATTAACTGAAAATTGAAGAAATATCAAAAGACCATCCATCACCTGATACTTCATGGGAAAACATCCCTCGTGTGATGAGGAAGATCAAGATAGAGATAAAGGATTAAACAACAGTAATACACATTAAGCTTGCCGATTAGTACCATGGAGAGAAGATATATTGTGAATCCCACTAGTTCAAAAAATTTAAATGACTTTTTTCCCCCAATAAACACACATTAGTATTGAAATGATTAAAACAAAGTAATGTACAGTATTCAGATGAAGCCAAAGCAAACTCAACCTACTGTGTTTGGATGAAGACAACTGATGAATCATGACATGCTTGTATGTGTGTGTGCTGAAATGGAAGTTTGGATGCGTTTGTGGGGTAAATAAGGATCTGTGGCCACCGTATAACTACTAATGATATAAATTACAAAATAAACATATCTTCCCTTGAAATTTAAAATACAGAGGTAGATCACTTTTACTAGCAGTGATGTGAAATGGAGTTATCTAAATATGATGCCAAACTTTACCTGTCCAGTGGAAACTCTGCAACCGAGGCATCAGTGGGAATGCCTACCTGTGCTTTCAGCATCGCGTGAAAGAATCTCCCAAAAACACTTTGGTCTTGTTTCTCTCTTTTGAGGCTTTCTCTTCTTCTTATACACTTAGACACTTTTTCTTTTACTACTCAGCCATTTTCAAAGAACCGCGGTGAGAAATGTGAGCTTCAATGTCTGGCTGAAACCGTAGCTCAACAAATAAAAGTA